CTTCAGTGAGATGTGCAGGCTTAAACCATGTGAGAGCTCTATTCCGTTTATGTTTCACCCAAGTAAAAACAAATGGTTTTCAGAGGGTTTCATTTTGAGAATTGACAATTGCGTGAAGCATTTTTCCAACCGTTCCAACTGGTATATTTTGCCAAATATTTCAAAAAAAAATTGTCCACCTCTGTTTAAGTGTTTTTTGGCAGGAACAAACAGTATAAATTGGAGGTAACAGTTTCCATACTTAACTAAAAGTTGAATGAAACAATTGGAAGGTCCTTTGTTTGTTTTGCTTAATATGCCTGATTTAACTACAATTAAAACATTATTACAGACAAACTGACATTGCAAATGTAAAGTGAAGTAATAAAAAGAAACAAAAAAGGCCAACAGTCAGCATTTCTGATAGCAGAGCCAAACATACCATTTGCACTTCCAGCCTCCTTTTGGAACTGTCTGCAGGGGCGGATCTAAGCAGTAAGTGTGGTAACTGATGTCGCAGTCGTCACAAAGCAGCAGCCTTCCTGGATCTGTAGCTTTCCCACAGGCTTCACACACTGTGCACTCCAGGCACCTCCAACCTTTACTAAGCACCACTTTAGTAATCTGCAGATAGGAAGGTGAAAATTATTCGGAAACTGCTCTATGAAGTGCGATCATTGTACAAATTAAGGTCTGGCTAGGCCAACACAGGAAGCTGTTCTGTGCACATCACAAGCAGCAGCGTAGCAATTAGACCTTCCGAAGCTTCGCTAAATGGGAAAGGTTTAAATAGAAAGGAGCTGTGAGTACTTGGCTGACAGCTGGTACTATTCTCAAACACCATTTTTTGCAGATAAACTAGCATGCCAGAGAATACATACTGCACTGGATCTACATGTGGAACAGTGCTAATTCCTTACAGGAACAGCTGGTCCTGCAGGGAAGATTGAGAACACACTGCTGCTCTTTTCAGGTGTAGTAAAACCAGGATTCAGCTCATTATAAATCCTCTATCTTTTATCTTTCCTAAATTACCTTTGATAACCAGTACTGGGCTTTTAGTGACCTGAAGCAAATAACCAATTTTAATGCAATTTAAAATATAATTTAATAGTACCATATATAAACGCAAGACCAAATTATAGTTTCATGAAAAATGCAGATGCTATCTTGTAAAGCACTTTATTTTAAAAGTTCTGTGACATGTTTTAAAAAAATCCCACTTTTATACAGATGCACATATACAACAAACAACAAAGAGCGTATAGTTTATATACTGCAGTAAATAGCTTATTATGCGCTTATTATCTCATATCACTCAAATTTAATTTTCACACATTCTCTCCCAGACTAATGAATGTAAAATGTATTAATTAACCACTCCAACTGCTGTCAATTGTGACAGCCAACAGACAAATTGAATCAACTAATCCTTATGCCTCTAGTAAATCAAGATGCAGTGTGTTTTTTGTTTTTAATTCTGCTTGTATTTAGGTTTTAAACTTATATCTCAAACTGTTATTTTAACCAACTGCTGGATAATCACTGCTATTTATGGTTGTGAAATTACAGAAAGGTTAATTTCTCTTGAGGCAATGTATCCGATAAAATGACATTTAATTAAAGTCTTTCTCAAGTTGCAAACAAATAACGGTCACATTAGCTGAAGAACATCTAACAAGCTAACGACTCCTCTAATTACCACAGAACCAAAGGCAACACACTGCTATTAAAGTGCAATATGAAAACAATGTAATCAAGTTATTTTTTATTTAACAAAAGCGCTCACCTTAATACTGACACAGTATGGATGGTAACACTGACCGCATTGAGAACAGGCAAGCAACCTGCCCTCAGCACCTTGGCCAAAGCTTCCGCAAACTACACACATATCCTAAAATTACAGAAAAGAGCAGATTTTCAACCTGTGCCAAACAGTAAATTCTGAAAATACTAACTGTAAAGTCCAACTAGCTTACTGCATAGCGCACCTCCTGAAGACATTCCCTTACTTTTTCTTTTTAACTAAAAACAAAGAAATAAACAAAATTGAAACCAGACTATTATCCTAACCTGATGAAGAGTGAACTTGTCACTGTTAGAGAAGAGGACAACTGTATTATGCATTGAGTTTTCTTCTTCATCTTTGCTAGATGAAATATCCATAGTTGTGACCTATGAAAAAAAAAAAAACCCAAAAAATAAATAGCATGCACATCTCATTTTCTAACACGTTAGACAAGTTGAAATCTGTCCGTAAAAACGTTTATTTTTTCATAGTACCAGAGAATACAAGCTCTGAAGAAACCAGAAGAACATGCAAATGTTTATTAGTACAATATGATCTTCTGTAAAAACCTACCCTCATCAGAGATTACGATATTAACTTCTTACCAGTTTTCACATCTGTGCAAGCATCATCTCTATTTCATTTTAAAGAGGCATTCTCTTTCTCCCCTCTGCTCACCTTTGTATATTTATCCCATGTACTTTAAAACGCAAACAGAAGGAAAGAGGGTAGTCTAAGAAAAATTCACTAAGTAGCCACTATCTTTCTGTGACCAGCCTGCTCTTTCCCCTGTGTATAAACACTGAAATTACTGTAATTGAAAATTTAATTACAGGGACATACTTTAATACTTGAATAGCAATCACACAAATGTAACCTCCCCGTATTGCTTAAAAACGGTTTAGCTAATGTCGCAAGTAAGTTAGAAGAATGACCAACAATAGCTAAAGTTACAATAGTTAAGATATTCTCAGTAAGTAGTTTTTTGAGGCTATCTGGCTTGCCCATCAAAATCCGTGTTGACCAGAGGACTTGAAATTGCTGTTCTGATCTCGACTTTTACTGTAGACAGTCGTTCTCCCTTTGATAAAGGGCATCGTTACTCTGCCCTGGCCTTTAAGGATTTGATTTATACAGGTTTATATAGCGTCTCAGGAAGAAAAAGAGGATTAAAAAAAGGGGGGGGGCGGGGAGGTTGCATAGTGACTTTGGGAATTTTTACATGAAAACATTAACGAGTTACTTAAACTGTGCTCTGACTTTCATGCAAAACTCTCTACGCAGAACGTTCCATGAACTTAAAACTATTAGACCTCGCCGTTTACTCTCTGAACCGATAGTGGCCACGGAAGTTTACAAGCTAAGAGCATGTTCTTCTACAAAAAAAGAGCAAACAAACGATAGAGAAATGTAACTCTGTTTTCCCAGCTGCTTTAATTTTATAAAGGTGCATTACTTTAAATACAGCTTAAACCCGAAATCTTACATAATCAGTTTTGTTTACACAATAATTTAAATGTTTTATTAGTCCAAACATCACTCTGAGATAAATGTAAATACTGTTACAATAGCTACAAGGAGTCCTTTTGAAACACTGTTGCTGAAAATCAGCATTTACTGAGAAATAACTGAAAAGGGAGCATAAGTATATACTGTCAAGCCCTTTTAACTATTGTGTGGTTGAGAGCACAGTAGATGGAATAAACTGATCAAAAAATGCCTGAAACACTTTGAGAGATTTAATGACGGCAAAGTTCTCAGAGTCGTTTGCATATATGAGAAAGCAGACTTTGAAGCACAGAATCACTGCATTTTGATGCTACCTTAACTCCAGCCATGACCCAGCTTCGGTTAACCTATTCCACCTCCTCTCCCGTCTCCCCAAAGATGTACCAGGAAATGTCCAAGTCTGAGTAGTTGCTCACTGGTCACGATTCCATGTGGAGTCAAAATCTGTTTGTGCAAAGGGGCTGAAAGTATAGCTTGCTTACGCTATTTCAGTCACTTGTCTTGCAAAAGGCTGGTCTCTTTGTATTGCTACCTTCCTCTGCTTTATCGTAAGACAGCCATATCTCTGCTCTAGAAGTCTGGAACAGAAAAGCTGTCATTTATTTTATTAGTCATAAGATCAAATTTCTATAGGAACTTGTGGAGAGTGACCGCCATTTTGATTTACATCAATTTAATGAACTCCACTAGAAAGGGAGTTCTCTTTTCAGTTAGAAAATCCTTGAAAAGTTTGTTCTATAAAACCTGGCTTCTTCTGAAATATAAATGCGTGCTTTGTAACATCAGAATAACTACGTGAATGCTTCTAAATCAAGAAGGTACCTAAGATTAGCCTTAGTGGAATTCATCCTCTATGTTTCAAATTATGTACGTGCTTATGCACCTTGATCAACCAGAGCTTTAAAAGTAAAGAAAATACAGACAGCTGTTCCTTTTCCAGATCACAAATACCTGCAGAATAGTCAGAGAGACTACTACATAGGCAGCAAAAAGTGGCACAAGGCTACATAAACTCAACCAGATTATAAGTAAAAACACCAAAAAAAAAGTTCTAAAAAGCCCGAGAAGTGACTTGGTAAAGACATAAAAACGAACAAATCCTTTTCTGAGCGCGTCAGAAACAGGAAGCCCGTCAAAGTCTGCAGGGCTGGTTGATAACCAAACTATAAAAATTATGTTTGGAGAAGACAAGTCCATAGCTGAAAAAAACTGTATTTTTTACAACGCACGTTTGCCACGGCTTTTCATACCAAAATCCCTCCTTACAAGCAGCAGATCAGGTTATTGTGATATTTAAGAGTTTTAAAAGGACTTCAAGTATGAAAAAGCTGAACTATCCTTTGTCGTGAGGAATTACTTGCCTAAAATCACTCCAGTGCTGTAGAAATGGAAGATGGCAAACGCGGATACCATTTTCTCAAAACTCTGTAGGGAGAACCCAGAACACTGTGTACCATGCTACGGTATATCTGACACCTGATCTTAACAGGGCACCTGCAGTCATATCGATATGTATTTTTTTCAAGAGTTAAGAGAGCTTTAGTGAGGGAAAATCGTTCCCTACAGGTCTATCAGGGTTCTCCGAAGGAGTCAGCAAGCCTGGGGACAGGGAGATCCGATTGACGTAATCTACTTAATTAATAAATTCTTTTGGCAAAGTCCTTCAACTAGCGCTTCTTAAAAAAAAGGTAACGAGACACAGAATTAGAGGGATGGTCCTTGTATTGATACAAGACAGGAAACAAAGAGTAGAATAAAGTAACAGTTTTCTTTGTGGAAGAACAGTGAAATCCTGATAGGATGTCTGCTAACAGGCTGCGCTGCTCAACACACTCATGTACAATCCAGAAAATCAAAAGAGGAGCAAGGTGACAAAGCTTGCCAACAATATTAAGCTATTCAGAGCAATAAAAAGTGAAAGGCAACTGTCAAGAATTGCAGAAGAACCTCATAAAACAGAGTGCTGTGCAATAAAATGGCAGATGAAAGTCAACACAGATAAACTGAAATAATGAACATGGCAAAACAACTGACAAGTATGATCAAAAATATGGAAAGGCTTGCATACGAGGAACAACTAAAAATACTAGAATTCTTCCGTCTAGCACAGACAGAGCGAAAGGAAAAGGAGGAGAAATGACAGAGATGCATAAAAATCGAGAGGCATGGAGGAGGTGATAAAAAAAACAACTCTCCACTATCTCTTCTGCAAGAGCACTACAGAGCAGCCAAGGAAACCAGCAGCAGGTAGCAACTTAAAACAAAGGAGGAAATTCTGTATCCTACAGACTGATATGCTGTAGAACTCAAAAAGGGTTACACGGTTTTCAAAAGGTTCAAAAATGAACAGACAAATTTGTAAAAGAGAATTCCAGCACAAGCCGTCCCCCTTCAGTTCACCAAATCCCCAAGTGGCAAACTCTTTTCTGTACTCTTCCCTCAGCATTCAGTTTTGGTCCCCTGGATAGACAAACCTCTGGTCTGATCTGCCAAGGCTGCTGCTACATTTGTATGCGTACGTCTTGCCCTTTTCTGTTCCAGTGAATGCTGCCTTTAGCCAGCACGTTCTCCCCTTGTGGAAACGGAAGGAGTACTCCAAGACTCACAACAGTCACCCTTTTAAATGGCAATGGCAGTGTAAAATCGCTTCAGGTACATTCAGCTGCAAACTGTATTCTAGCTCTTAACTACTAATACTTAATGCTAACCAGGTTTTACCAAATACCTCTACTTTTTAGTGCTCTTTGGTTTTACACAGCATGTTAATAAAATAAGTACAGCTGAATAAAATTACGTTACATTAACAGACTACAATATGACTTAAAAATAAGTGTTCTTACCCCTGGAATGACTACAGTCCCAACTCCATTTTTCAGTTTTGATCTACCTCTGCCACCTCTTCCTGAAAGACCTGCACCACGTGGCCTCCGCTTCCCTGGGAATCCTGATCCACGGCCCTATTCAATATAAGATAACAATTTAAATGCAACCTAAAGTCTTTTTGTTATACGGGATTCAAACTTGTTCAATGCATCTGGGGAAAAACATAAATAAAAAAAGAAAAACCCTATGATTTCAAGTGAATATGGGCACGCTAGTCCAGAGTCATTAAGTTACTGCATAAATTGCTCTGAAACACCTTTAACTTCTGTAACTATTTACATGACATAATATGATCACCTTTATCATCAGTGAGAAAGCAGTCAAACCCAGTAATGTTTGTTTTCAGCTCAGGAACTACTGGAAATAAGGAAATATATTTTTTTGACAATTGCAAAGTATCCAAAATAAATATTCCCTGCCATATGCTTTGCCTTTTTTGTCTGTGTGTGTGTATGCACGTTCAGCTCAGACAGTTATGTGACTTCTGAATACGGTCTGGACACTTGGTTAGTTGTAGTCATAGCTACTTTTCTTATGCTATGAATAACCAAACAAACATTAGAAGTCATTAGGTTTTAATTCTGCTCCCAAAGAAAAGCAGGACCTGGTTCCACCAAACTCTTTAATTCAGCATGTACAGAGAGAGCTTTTTCTGCTCATTATATTAATTAACCTCAGATCAACACTTCATATACGCCTAAAGTTATGGTTTTCTTAATAAAATATCCACTTATTTTTAGGCAGCTCCTTTTTTGCCCCGTCCTTATTTTATATAGAAACACATAGTTGCAGCGCTTATGTACTCTGGAGTACTCAAAGTACGTTCAACTACAATGAACTGTGGAAAAGTAAGTATGTCTTTTTCAATAATAATTACCTGATTTTACTACTTTGACTTAGTTTGAACTTCACAATTGTTTTTTAATTTCAAAATGAACTAAACACAGACTTGTAAGAAGAACTCCCTAACCCCTTCCAGAGAGAAGAGGAACGTGTTGACAATGTTCCTAATTGAGTTCTGGCTAGTACGGCAAGATGCCTTTGCACAGAGTACATCGGTTTCAGAAGCTCTGTTCTGCATAAATGATGACAGTTACGGTATATACTCAAGAGAGTATCCTTTCTTACTACCAAATGAGCAGTGAGGTTATTTACTGCATTTCAAATTTGTGAATAATATCTACTGCTAAGAAAGCCCGACTCTGTTCACAGAATATCTAGATGTCTACAGTATCTGTATCCAAATGTTTGCCGGAAACTACTTTTAATACCAAGACAAAACATTTGCTCAATAAAACAGTGTTCACTAAACCACAAAGCTCTTCGGTGATGGTATCACCAACAGACATGAACACTCTCTAGTGATAGAGACAAGAGATCCAGGGATGGAAAGGAGCATGGTGGACTTCTCAATACTGCCAACAGTATTTTTCAAATGCACCAAATCCTGTTTTCAAAGATGATATACAAGTTCATGGTAATTATTAAAAGGAGATTCCAAGTATCCCAGTGTTAACATTTTATCAATGTCCGTGTACTAATGGAAAGAGAAATTAAACTACCTTACTCTTATACAACAAGGTATACACTAGACAAGACAACACTATTTTAGGAAGTGAAAGGAAGGACATCACGGATGGCTGAAGTACTTGTAGGTAGTAAATGGGAAAGGATAACGCTGTCCTCACATACATATGTCAGTCAAAACATATGTAGACACAGGACATAAGTGCGTGAACTTTTCAAGATGTGAACTCTTCTGACAAGTTTCCGGTTTTGTGTGTTTCAGACTAGGTATCAGTATTGTTACTTTCACAAGACTAGTAACAAGCACGTACTTGTACCAATGTTAATGCTGAATATTAAGCGGAAAATTAATGCTTGAAGCAGCAAAAGCTAAGCTAATACCAAATTAAAATAAAATTAGCATGAGAGTTAAAGTGAGATGAAAATAAATCATTTGGAACCTACAGCTATTTGTTAGGGTTTCATAGGTTAGCTTTTTCTTTTTTCTTTTTAATCGTAATTCCAGTTAGTTTCCTCAGGTATTTTTAACGACAAACATCACTGTCGACACAAGCTTTGTCTGTCTAATCAGGTAGGAAAGTAGGCATTTATTCCCTCACAACCTAAAATTGGTGTCACTTTGGATCCATTCTGCAAGATTTCTCCGTAGCAACAAATTTAAGACGCACCTCAGATATGGTTTTTTTCAGCCTCTGGCTTACCTTACTGCCAGTCTTAAGGACGTTTCTTTCTCCAGTAACTTATTTTGACAGCTACTTAAAGCTAACCACAAGAACTGAAGTACTAAACACACATAAAAATTGATAATGCAAATTATTCTTTGCCGTGTAAAACCATGGCACTGCCATCATAATACATGTACACTCTGGAAAGCACACATTTTTAAACCTGAAAGCTCCAGAGTTTTAAAAAATTTTCAAAGGCCTTAAACAGTGATAGAATGGAGGATTAATTCAGATGCGCTATACAGAATTTCATTAGTAGTCTCTACAGCAGAAAGACAGCAATGGATACATGTAAATAAATTCAAATTATTTACCACTTTGATGCTCCAAATGGCACTGCCAGGAAGCTGTCTGGATTTAAAAATGTCCCGACCTTCTGAAATGTCTGGGGACCAGGAAGGTGGGCTGACTGTATTATTGGTACTCCAAGCCCCCTAGGATACGGTAGGTGAGAAAATAGATGTATAAAACTTCGCAACATAAAAAAAGAAAAGCAAGCAACCAAAAAAAAAAAAAATCTGAAAAGCAAAGTACATGCAGGCATAGGCATTTCTACATTAACTTAACTAGTCAGTTAGTTCGCACTGAGTGAGAGGAGGGTGGGAAATTTTCAGGCTGTCACTGAAACTTACACTAAAATTTTAACCTCAAACTGACAGTTAAGCACTAGGAAATGTGTTTTATAAACAAAGTAGAAGACAAATAGAAACCAATCAGTCATAACAACAAACTATATCCCTGAATTTTACTGCACCAAACTGAACAGAGAGTACTTTGAGATGATGAAAAGTTTTCCATTTTGCACTTGAAACTGCATTTCTGAAAGAGCAGACGCCCTTAATCAACTTTTGAGTCTAAACCTACCGACAATCATGGCAACTAGTCTGAGAAGCACGGGAAACAACAGGAATATAAAACGTGAAAAAGAAAACAAAAGAAAAGAAAAATAGCCATGGGTAATTAACAAAATACCTCTTTTCTGCAAGTACATCGCAAATAAACCATTATAAAAGCCCAATACCAATGTTTTCTTCATCCTGATAATTTTTACACTATGGTATCAAAGAATATTATTATATACATGTCATAATTATGCATACATATGGTGTTCCTAGAAACTCTTTCTAAGTAACTGATTGTATTTTCATCCCTACTTACATAGTTCCCAACACTGTGGGAAATTATTTCACTCTGTGACAAAAAAAAAATAGTTAAACAAGAAGAACGTGCTAAGATACAGAAGAAAAAAATGCTGAAGTTATTCATACACATTAAAACGTGTGGAAAACTGTCTTCAGTCCGGAATAAAGACGGCAGAAGATAGAATGAAATTATTTATCGAGTCACTGATGGCTAAATGTGTAAATTAGCGTACTTAAAGGATAATACTTCTTTCTAATTCTAAGCTTGTATAAGCAAGAAAAACACAACACTAAGATGAGAAGTAAAACAGATGAAGAGGAGTACAGGTTTACTTCTCCAGAATTACATCCAGCAGCAGAACAGCATGGATGATACGGAGTAACTTAACGCAACTACTCACACGTGGGTAACGGCTTACACGCACAAGCGTAACGACATTTGTGCTTCTGAATACTGGTCTATAGTATAGGCATAAAGAAAAATGAGATAGTATTACAAAGTACGTTTTCCTAGAAGGAAATATTCTCCATGGAGAACGCGTGCAAAACAATTTCTTCGGCATCAACAATCCATCAAAATGTACGCTCATCTCGGCCTGTAAAGAGGCATTCACGCTGCAAACAGCTGTGCTGACCGAAAATGGGGCTCCCCATCAAGTAATTTCAGGCCAAAAGGATCATGGCAAGTGCTCCCTAATCCGTTTAAGGCAGTGCCAGGTTAGCTCTGGCTGCTGAGGCAAGCGAGCATGAGCCAGCCAGCCGGCTTGTCCTCACGCAGAGCAGGGAAAGCTCACGTGACGCCACCTTCTTGCAAAACCAGGCAGGCAGTGACCTCCAGCTGCTCAGGTCGGCTCCGTGTTCACGCTGACACAACCCATCCAAAGGAAGTCACCCGGCTGTGACCTAAAAGCTTAACTACGCTTAAAAGTTGCGTTTCAACAACGCCAAGATTGTCAGAGTGGTAAAACGCACAGCGCGGACACAGCGGTATCCAGCGTAAATCTGCTTTTATGAGTGCAGCTACTCCTGCAGGGGAAACGGAACAAGGATAATAGAGCACTTCTTTATTATTATATTAAAAAAAAATCTTCACAGCTTTGTCCACACAAAGGGGTAAGCAGACACACCAACTACAAACTGCTTCATGGTCCCAGAAGGTGGCGAGCTCCTGGTGCGTTTCCAACTACGCGTCGCTCCCCGCTCGGCCGAGGTGCTTCCCCTCACACGCTCGCTCGGCTGAACGGCTAGCGCCGGCAACTGCTGCCCTGCACGCTCCAACAAACCGCTTCCACTGTAAGACTTTGCTATCCCAGTTCATTTTGTTTGACTTGAATTTGCTAGTCGGCACTCAGACAGCCCAGACAGCCGAGGGAAAGGATCAGTTACCTCTAAGAAGGGAACAGCGTTGAGCAGATGGAAGCAAAAACCTTTCACGCCCGCAATCGTGGCCACGGAGAGGGCAGCAGTTCACCGACACGAAACCACGCCGTAACGGCCATGCCACAACGGGAGCACCAGTGCACCGAGTTAGACACGGAGGGGAAAGCAAGCAAGCAAACCTTCGCAGAAACAGAGGTTCAACACACGTACGAAAGCCCATTCTTGGTGGGAGTCCTCTGATAAACGCGCAAGTAGGCTTACGTGGGCCTGCTTCTCTGCCGTGGCTAGAAAGGGGAAGCTCCGGGTGACCAGGGCAGAGCTTTGCAAAGCCGACAGGCAGGTGAATCAACCCCACTCCCCGACTCCGCAGCAATCTCCACCTGACGGAAATGGAAAAGGCTGAGGTCTAATTTTGTTACGTGAGTCCCGCAGTCTACTGGTCCTTTTTTGTAGGAATCTCGTCTTTTCCGTAAACACTGTCACGCAGTACTTGGCAATTACACCAGCAGATCTGTGGCAATATGAAATTTAACTTTCCCACGCTAGCCTGATTTTTAGTATCAAGCAACATGAAACAGTAACTTTCAATTTGAGCAGAATAAACGTTTTCTGTACAAGTTAGAGCTTTTATTGGATTTACTTGTAGTGTTCCTAGATTTCTAACAGGCATTGTGTGCGGTAAGTAATTGTTCTTTTATTCATAATGTGGAAGCACAAACAAAACCTGTACATCGTAGAAACGATCTTTACTTCAAACTTGTAAGGGAGGGAACATGCCAGCTAAGGGTCAAAATCCAAGATATCACAACACACTGAAAATATTAATCAAAAACTGAAACTAGCTCCTTTTACTTGGAACTTATGAAATTATTTTCCGCTTAAGAAGATACACTTCTCTAGTGATTAAGTATATTCAAAAGATTAAAAAGCTAATAGAATATTAAATCTCAATATGAAATATTCAGTCTTTCAAAACAAAATGAATTGTATATGACTCATGAACCATATTGTTAAGAATTAAATTGGAAATTTAATCCAAGTTTTATTGCAGATCAGAAACATTTGAATTCTTGGTCAGATAAACTTAATTAAAAACACACTCTTCCACAATACTATGAACAAATGAATTAAATCAAAGAGATGCGTTAATTATATTTTGGCTTTTAATTAATGCCTATTATCACACCACACCGAAGAAAAAAGTTCTATTCAGTTCATTTGTATCAAAACCACGGCAATAACTAGGCACTTTGACAGAAACAGGAAGTTCTAATTCTCCATCATATTCTCGAGTCGTCAGACTTGAACGTTCAACACAGCTGCAACTAAATTATAATAAAAGGAAATATAGTGTCATCAAGGGTCAGGAGATCTTACTAAATTACTGTGTTTAGCAGCCTAATGCTTTATGAAATATACTGCAATCATAAACATGTATTTTCATTTTAATATAACTTTAGGGATATGAACAAAACTTCAATCTGTTCTAAATATAATCCCCTTACAGGAAAAAAAAAAAAAACCCATAAAAACCCTTAAAAAAAAAATCTAATACAAACTCATTCTGGAAACAATACCTTTTTGATCTTTTTTCCAGTGTCTATCATCACTACAGAAACATACTAAAGAGCAACACATAGTCAAAGATGGTGAGAAAGCCGTAATACGCAAGAAAGAACATGCACCTGAACCCATCATGACGTTCTGCATTCTCACTGCAGAAAATCTCTCCTAGTTTTTTCTAGTACCTAGAAATACGTACTGTGCCATATACTAAGGTTCCCCAGTACTGTCAGGATGAAAACGAATACCTTTGTTTTAGCTAATCACAGTACCTTCCATGGAACACACTCTAAAATAATTCTTACAGGGAAACAGAAAGAGTGAAAGTTATCTTCTATTCAATATACTACTACAAATCATTCCGAAAAGTATTTATCTACTAGTCTCACAGAGCTGCACATGCTGTTAATACCCACATTCATTGACTTGATGTTATTGTTTCCCAATACTCAGTGCTGTTGTGAAAGAACTAATGATTTCAAATTTTTCCGATTCAGATACATAAAAGAATAGCCTCAATATTGAAGAGCATTCAAACACGGAAAAAAAAAAAAGGTATTTTTCCTGTGAATATTTACTTCAAACTAGATATGTGTCACAATAATCATTAACAAATTTATGTGATAATTTCTTTTAAGACTACTGCTTTAGGAAAAAAAAAAAAAAAAAAAAAAGACTGAAGCAGAGATCCCCCTGGCATAAACTTGCAAATTATTTATAGGCATGGGTGGACAATCGGTACAATCCACAGCAAAGAGACTGTACACACACAAGTCGGCGGTTAGCACTGTAAGAACTTTGTTATGCTGGCAGCTCCTTGCAAGTATCTCATGTACAACAACTGCAGTCAGGATACATGAAAAAGATAATTCGGTTCCATTTTGGAGTAGGATAACCAAAACAGAAAAAACACATCCCATGGACTACCAAACGCGGGAAGCCAACACAATGCTTCGCTAGGCGGATGGAGGGTTCTTTTGCTGGGCTAGCTACGGGTATGGATAATAGATGTCCTAACACACATCAGTAGCTGAGGTGCACCTTACTGGCAATAGCTCTTTTGCTGACACAGCTGAAAAAAAAAATCACTATCCCAGTGGAATAAGCTTGCACCAGCAAACGTATTTTGTATCTGTATAACTGCACCTACCTATATGGATGCATATACAACTCCCCTTCTGGTTAAAAAAAGATGGAATTTTTCCTGTTGCTCCCAAAGTAGCTTAATGGAGGGGAGGGTGGGGTGTACGACGACAACAGCACAGCCCTGGAAGGGAGCCATGACATCTTTTTGAGCAGGGCACTAGCTGGAATATTGTCTTAACTGTTCTGTCAGATGGGTTTAAGTCATTTTAAAATTGCAGTGACAGTGCAGCATTTCAAATGTATCACTAAAGCCTGAAATAAAAGCAAACTACTAAGATCCAATATGGAAAAACACTTCAGATTATGAATAACTTTGTACCTAATACTGAAACTGAATAATCAAACATAGTTTATTAGCAATGTTATTAATAGATTTTGAAGAAAGAGACAATCATTCATCCTACTACACAGCACAATAAATTAATTTTAACGAAAACAAATGCAAATCAGAAACTATTAATTTATATCGATTCACCTGTGTCCGGTGAAGGCCAAATCTGTGGGTCTTCTAAAGCTGAGAAAAAAATATTTCAAGATCCAGACAGTTTTTCTACTGCTTTTCTCCATATGAAGTCCCACAAATCCATTGCAATGGATTTTTTTTTTTTTTTTTTTTAACAATAACAGGACATTCCAGCACGGTAGTTTATATATTAAAGCAATTGAATCTTCTAGGAGAGAGTGGAGAATATTGCTGCCTGCAGAAACTGCCTAATGTTGGCTTCTCTTTGGGGTCCACAGAGTAATCACACTCTCATCCAAATATCTCTTTTAAACCTGTGTAGTCCTGGATAAGTGACTGGTCCTGCAGTGATAGTTCCTTTATGTAGCAGAGAAAGTAGCTGTGGACCCAATGTTAGGTTGGCCAAGCGTGGGAGCCACAACTTCCTCAATCAAAAGTCCAACCCTATTTTGTGTAGTTTTTCTCTCTTATTCTGCTGTCCCCCAATACATGCAGCTGAGAACTGATCAATGTAACATTCAGTATCTCATAACCTAGGTCCTAGCAAATCAGCAGAACAGCATTATGTGCTTTTCTTCAAATAGAAAGAGACTGACCACGAACCCATAAAATTAACTTGCATTTGAGACGGCAAAAATTCCTTTTTGGCAAAGTATACAGACACACAGAGAAGAGTCACACATGACCTGGTCTATTCTGAACTGAGGTGCCATACTGCACTCATGCATTATCTATCACACTCCTAGAACCTCACAGAACCATTTTTTCCCCTCCAGAATTGTTTTCCCCACTTGGTACTTGCTACGGGTCAACGTGACCTGGCCTAGCCTGTGCTTACTTTCCTTCCAGTAGATTCAGCTCCTCCAGTGCAGCTCGGCTCCTGTCTCGAAAGCAGGAGGTGGAAGCAGTTATACCTTAAGAAGTTGAAACGGAAACTGTCCTTAGCTGAGCATATTCCCCGTTTCCTTTCAGCTCTCTTGACCCAACTTTCTCCCTGAACTGGAAGCTAGTGCAAGTTCTTCCAAAAAGGTAGAACTGTGGGAATAATCTTCTGAGAGGACCTCGACGCATATCTCACCACTGGACAAGCACTGAGATATTTATTAGGCTAAAGCATTTGAAGATAAGTTTATGAACCTTCTGCAGCAAAGGGGCCTCACTAGCGAGACAGAGAAAACAAGATGGACAGCAGAACGCAATGCATTCCTCAGCCACCAGAACCTGCCAAGACGGGGTCTCTCTCTGAGCCACGGTTGAGAGCTAATATGCATTTTGAAGTATCTGTAGAGTATGACACAAAAAAACAAAAGGACTTAATTCTTTGCTTTTATATTTAGTGAAAAACTGCTTAATTACCCGTCCCAAAGAATTCTCATGTCACAGGAAACCAAACCAAACCCCAACACATATGAGTATACGGTAAACACAGAACGGAGGCAAGGGGGAGTATCAGAATGCAGATTACAAAAGAAAAAGCAGTCACAGCTACAGGGTTTCTTCTTTCTTTTTCCAAATTGAGAATCAGTTTCTAAAATCATATAGAATACGACGACAGAAAGTCACGTATAGGACTGCTGGCATACATACCAAAAAGCAGAAGACGTAGCTTTTTTTCTCCTGAAAACTGGCACAAAAATATACATATATACATATATACACATATATACATATATATAAACCTATACATGAAATGACCTTTTAAAGATAGCATAAATTGAGCACAATTAGGTAAAAACGTGAGGTGTTGTTCTTTCACAATCAAATATTTTTAGAGAGGTTTCTGTTCCTATCCAAACCCCTTGATTTGGAAAAAAGTACACAATTCCTTAAAAAAATTGACTGCTTGGGGCAAAGAAAACCAAAGCAATTTCTAGGTGCAATCCAAGGTTAGTACATTTAAACATATGCCTTACCCATCAGGGACTTGTTTGATTACATATTGCTCAAAGGAAAAATGCTTATCTGTGATTGTACTTTTCTAAATCTATTACCTGCCACAGACCACATCATTCTAAAGGTTTCAGTCCCTCAGCAAAGGCCTCAAGCAGGAAGTTAGCATTGCAAGCTTACAATACTGAAGATAATTTTGTCCATGTCTAAAGCATATAAATATTTATGTAAATACAGTATATACCTTATTGCACAACGACCTACAAAAATCAAAGTCCAGCAAAATAAACACAGAGTTCCTGAGCGGAAGCAGAAGTATGGTCCTACTAAAAGAGCTGTTTCAGAAAACATTGATTATAGACAAGCCTCTTTTCTCAAAAGGCATTATCTATAGACACGAGCATCATATTTTCATCTCCAATATGGAAAATGAGATGAACAAAAGTAAAAACTGACCAATTAAGGTTCCGAAAAAGATCCCAAAGCCCTACATACTAGTTATGCTGAATTTGGATTACTAGTAGAAGACGAGGAAAACAATGTCTATTTTTCACTCATCAAGTATCCACAAGCTCTTCATTTGTATTCAGGCCCTACTCAAGACAATTTTCTACCAATTTCCACAACAGACGTGAATAATCAGTGGAAAGTAAGAAAGAGTACTGCGACTTAAAACAAAGTATGCATGAGCTTCTCTTACCAGAAAATTGCTATTAGCCTCACAAAAGTTCCAGCTTAGTATGTGTTTAAAGCACAAGTAAAGGATTATCAAAATCAAGAGGATCAAAGGGAGCCTTCATAGGCCGACGTTTTTAGAAGAAAGTTCATTACTTTTTCAGGTAACTTATTCAACTGTACAATAGGAACTGCTAAGATGCTAACTCTCCTAAGATGCTATTTGTTCCTTTTTATTTTAAAATAATGTGCAAACTGATGACTAGACCGTTGTTAATTGAGCATTACAGCTAGAATTTTGTTTGTGCTAGACATTAATTGAAACAGTAATTCAACTCCGTTTTATTTGCATTACTTACACCATATATTCAGAGGTTAATGACTATACCATATTGTACATAGACTACACAAACCAATACTTTTTAGCTGATTTTTTAAGAGATGCACTTCTGATGCAGGCATTTACAGTTGGGGGTCAACCTCCATCTTTTCCTCAGTGGGCTCTCTAGTAATTAATTTTATTGCCAGCATCATGATGTTGGCCCCCACACATACCGGGGGCAAACAGAACAGAAAAATAAACGTGACTTTTGCTGGAACACAAAACAAGACAAAAACCTTCCCCAAAAGAAAAGACAAAAACCTTCCCCAACAGACAACCCCCCTCCTCCCCTCCCCCCCCCGCCACCCTTTTTAAATCTGCATGACAAACTGGAATACATTTAAAACTAGGGAAATAAATTTCATTTTTAAAACAGTTCACAGTGGTAAAAGTGATGTTTGACTACTGTAAGACAACGTCAGACAATGGGTAACTGAACACTTTCTTCTCAATAGTTTATGGTCTATTTTTATTTCATATGTATTTCTGTAAGCTCCACCGTGCTTACAAATGAGGAAAAAAAATGGTGATGCTCTAAAATCTTCCAAGTTGAATTGTTTGGTTTTTTTATTATACACTCTTAACCCTTTCCGAACACTGCTTCATAGCTGCTCTTAAAAAACAGACTTCCACTGTATTTTTGAATCCTTAGTTTACGTGAGAAAATGGAAAACATTCTACAACATATAGAATACTTCTTTAACACTAAGTTCAGAAAAAATGTGAAATGATCAGCCTAGAAGTTCAAAAGTCTAAAACTAAATTCTGTGTAGAGAACAGAAATGAAGCACAACTTAATCTGTCACACTGACATACATCTTGGGTAGAATTTTGCAAACACAAAATAAACGCAAAATAAAGTACCGCAAACCATTTATTCCCTTAACTATGTAATTTGAACAGAACAGAGAGTAAGATGTTGCAGAAGGCTATGGACCTGATGATTAATTTTCAATTATCAAATCCAATCCTCGTCAAACCACAACAATTTGTACCGGAAAGTTCTTGCACAGTATTTGCCCATAAAACAAAACCACTGCTCTATCTGCCTTCATTAAAAACTTCCATCAAGAAAAAATCTGGGAGCGTGACGGAAACACAGTCGTTGCAGGTTCATCTATGAAGCCAGCTTAAGAAATGTTAACACACTTTGAAGATATTAGCCAAAACATATGCATATATGAATAAGAGACAAGTTAAAAGAAAAAGCACATTACGCATGTCTGCATTTCTAGCACATGTATTCTAGCATGTATTAAAAATATTATTTTGCTCTAAGTATGATCCAAAAGAAAAAAAAACTGTAGTTCTCACTAGAGAACCTTTTTTAGGCATGACCTTCAATTATTTAACATGAAATTACCTCCTTCAAGAAATAAACCATACACTCACTTGGGAGAATAAATACATTATATTCTCCAAAATAGGTCAATTTATTGACCTACTAAACTGAAACCTGAACTAACTTCATAAATGCATATAATGAAATGCTTACCTGTCTTGATCTGGGTCTTCCAGGAGAAAACTTTCTTTTGGTGATGGCTGGTTTCCCCATGCCAATTTTTGGAGTGACTGATATGTAAGTTGTTGTGAGAGCACTTCCAGCAGTGGAAGTCAACGCTGGAGGCTGACTGTGCTGTACATCACGTGCAGAATGCAAGTCTAATGAAACATCTGGTGAGGAAGACATATTTGTCTTGTTTATACTAACTGATGGTGGAAGTGAAGGGTAACTCTCAGCTGGTGATTTTATGGGTTTGTCTCCAACTGGCGAACTGCTTTGCAAACCTTCATTTGCAGAAGCAGTTTTTACATCTAAAAGAGCTGGTGTTTCTGAGTTTTCATGAGTTTCTCCTTTTTCCATGTCTTTTTGCACTTCTATCGTTTCCAGTTGTTGTTCTACATGGGCACAAATTTCCCCTTTACTTTCAGTCCCTTCTATTTCTGGCATCACAGTTAAGGTCTCAGGTACTGAAGCCAGAGACCGAGAGTCTACTGTGCATAATTCTGATACCTCAACACTATTTTGTGACAGCTGTGTCTCTTCAACTTGTTTGTCTGACTCCTGCTGTATTACAGCTTGAGCACCTTCCATCATTTTCTCAGTCTGACTGTCATCCAATGCTGGTGTCTTTTTAGGAGATATTTCCATTTCAGTTGAATTAACTTCACCAGAGACTTCCGTTTCCAGTTCCGTGGTCTTTTCTTCTGGTGGTATGCCTGTAACTAAGTAAAATCACATTAAAGGCTCAATGTAAAAATGAACAACTTACACAGCTGTACTGGTCACCAAGTACAGCCGGTACACATCACATGCATCAAGTACACCCCACTTTGCTTAAGAAAATGTTATGTATAGGTTAAAATATACTTTATAAATATCAGTTTTTGTACCTATGTTTGCAGTAACCTATATTTGTAGTAGACATATCGCAACTGTTTGATTGCTTTCTCTCTCTCTCTCTCTCTTTTTTTTTTTTTTTTCCTGGAAACATAGCAGAGTACCTCAGAAAAAAATAGCACATTTTCAGGGACACACTCAAACACTCTCCTTCACATGTTTTCCATAAAAATACGCTCAGGCAAAAGACGATTACGTTAGGCTATCGGGGCAGCTCCTCAGCTAGTAACAATGATTCCACTGTACCAAAGATACTCCCAAATGTATATGATAGGAAAAGTTCCCACAGCTGTATTGCTAGGAATCAAGTTAACAAATGAATAAAATTACAGTATACAACTGCAAAGCAGGGAACTTGGCTTACAAAGAGCATTCAGTGGGCCCGAAACAATAAATCAAGGAATCTGAATCCACATTTCCATGTAAGCAGCTCAAAGTAGCCTGCCTTTTTTCATTTCTGCACACCTAAGATTTAGGCTAGCATAAATTTATGTAGTTTAAGCAACTGTCCCAACAGTTGCCAAAGGCAGATAGCTAGGAGGAGGAACAGGACAAGTGTATGTAAAACACTTTTCCCTCCTAATGCTCACCGAGACTGTAGGAAATCACCTGAGCTGAAAATAGTTTGTGGTTTATCATTTAGTATTGCCCCATCTATTTCTTTCACAAATATATGTCCAGCCTCCCCTTGAACCGCATCAAAATTATTTCATCCACAACTTTGTTTTTCAAAGAGTTCCAGGGCATTGTATCTAGTCCATGAAGCACCACATCTTATTTTCTGCTTTGAAGTGGCTTCTAGTATTTTAACTTGACGGTCCCTGACTCCATTACAGGTCACCTATTTTCTATTATGCTTGCACTCTTATTAAATTCATGCTGCTACACAAACACATCAGCCACTACCATTCACAGCCTAGCACTTTATCCTGAACGTATCTTCATTGACAAAATTTTAAATCATGGCCCTGTATCACACGCCACAAAACGGTGATCGCAGTTAAGCTGCAAGATATTTTGTTTTTCTTTTGGCTTTAAATTCAGGTTTCCTGATTTCCCTTAGAGCAGTCATCCCTCAACATGGCCTGGGGATGGGTGGGTCACACTTTAAGGTTTGCCATTGACATCAGTCACTAAAACATTTAGCTTAAGCCAAAGACCACCCTAGCTCCATTCTTTTCTCTGGCTGGGACATGATAAATGATTGCTAAGATATATTTATTCCCAGAACCTTAATGATCAACTACTGTAGCGCATCCTATCTACTGTAGCACATCCTATCTGAATGTACAGTAATAAACAAAATATCGGGGGGGGCGGGGGGGCAGAGAAGGGCAACAGAACACCTTAACTGAGCGTATACTTGAATGAGTTCAAATAAGTGGCACATAAACTGGAAGTTCTTAGCTATTAAGTGCCCCACAAAACAAAAGGAAAAATTCATCCCATCTTGTTATGTGCAGCTACAAAAAAAAAAAAAAGACTTGAACAGAATACACAAATAACTGAATCTACAAAGCAACATTTTTTTTTTTTTTTTTAAAAACTATAATCCTCCAATGTACAAAAGTATCTAACCGTATTTCCAGCTTTTGGAGAAAGCAAGTCCTACCAAACAAGTAAAAGGATTTTCTGCTACATTTACATTTTGAAGATATAATTTACAGCTATCTTTGCCTTCAATAAAATATTTCTTCAATAAAAAAGTTAATACTATTGCTTGAGAGTTCAGGCACTGGAACTTGCACAATTTGTCTCCTTTTACTGCTTTTCAGGCATTTTTTTCTATTAAATTTATGAAGCACCACAAATCCTTACTGAGTGGGAAAGGGTTCTGAATGCTGGATTTGTATTTTCTTAGACTGCAAAACTCTTTCTTACCATCTGTGACACATCCAACAGCTGATTCTTGACCAGGGCCACTACCAATAACGGTTTGTTCCTGAAATGCCACATCTGTACCACTTTCAATTTCCATTTCATCTGTACAAGCTTAAGGAGAGGCAAAGAAGTTATCAGTTTTGACAAGGTGTTTATTCTATTACTTTGGCATCAGTAGTTGCTATCACTGCTTGACCTTTTGGCTAAATGCAATGATATTTAAGTATGTGATAGGAATGAGGGCAAATCAGGTCAATGAGACGGTTAGGGAGAATATATAGTGCTCTTTAAAGATTAAGAGGTCTTTTCTCACTAACACTGAAGCTGCTTGATACTTTTTAGATAGTGAGAAGAGGATGTAAAGCAATTATATGAACTTACTCGTGGAAATATAATTTACACATAGTCACAGATTCCTCTGCATTACCCAAGTAACATAAAAGGCCTTTTATCACATTCCAAACTTCTAAACTCTAAAGACCTTGTAGCATGAAGGCTTCAAATTTTTATACAAATACTACAAAGACCTATAACACAGAGACACGGTTCCACCTACTATCAGCATTTGAAATGCTGATTTTTCAACTCGTCTGCTCAGCTCCAACAACACGAAAAATGAGTTTTGCCTCTGTAGAACTAGCATACCTTTATCTGCAAGTTTCCCCACGTTACAGAAAGTTGCATGGGAGAGGTGGTACTGAATACTTTTCAAGCTGACAGTATCATCACAGAGTACAGAAACAGGAAGTGCACATATTTTTCCCATTTAAAAGCTTTTTCAGTTAAGGAAATTAATTAAAATGCACTAGACAAAGTAGCAGCATGAAAATCAGAGTATACAGCAAGCATCAACTCAAAAGGAACTGATCCCCCACAGATGTTAGCGCAAAAAAAGGGCAAATTAATATAGCTTTCTGTTCAGGAAAGCCTCTTTAAAGTTCAAAAAGCCAGGAACTATTAGGTGATGCCACTTTTAGCACCTAAAAGTGGCTCTCAGACTCTGCCAACTTTAAAGTGATATTTTAACTTTGAGGAAATGATCATTTAGATTAGCTCCAAATTTGAGTTAAATGTACAAAAGTGCTCTCTTGGGCATAAGACACTGCATGACTGTACTCATATAATAGCTCCAGATTACTCCTAGTAGTTGAGATGACAGTCCTATTCTTCCTTGGGGAAAAGAGGATGCTCATCAATGCTTCTCCTAGCTAGAAATAATAATAAAAATATTTCTCAAAACTTTAGCCTTTCAAATAAACGTCATTTACTCAAAAGTGATTCCAGTAGAAGACTGGGAGTATATTCGGTATAAGTTTTGCGTATTACTCAGATTCTTCCTAAATCGTCTAAAGACGCTGTCTGAGAGTCCGGATAGCTTCTGGTAACCTTTCACAACAGACGTGATCTTCAAAGGTTTAAGTTGCTAATCATTCTAACTTGGTGTACATGTCCATTGACAAACTTCTTGCACCCATTTATTTAAATTTACCTACTGTCACTGCCCTTTCTCCAGGATCTATTTTTCAGCATTCCTCTACTGTTTACCTCACGTATGCACTTAAGTATACTGGCTAACATCAAAGAGAATGACTCGCCTATGCGCAACTTTAGTTTTAACAAACAAGCAACTGAGCTACTGATTTTTTTTTTTTTTTAAACAGAAGATCAACACACAGGCATTGCTGTTTAGACAGGAAAAGCGCACATGGCACTGACAGCGCATTTAATCGGATAGATTTCACTTTGTCTCCAAATTTAACTACAATTATATTTCCCTTAGGAAATTCTGCCTGCATGAGTGTAGGTGCTATCCATGTGGCATGAAATACACACAGGAGTTCACTTGAAACTTCATTAGACGGGTCTTGTGGATGTCCAGCCGGACTAAGATCAACAGACTGTGCTTCCTTGCCGCTACGGAGTAATTTCAAAAAATCTATTTTGCACACTCTCCCGCCATTTCCCTTCCCACCTTTCAACTGTCTTGCCTATTTAGACGAGAAGCACCCAGAAACAAGACCACCAATCAATTTTGATTTTCTTGAAAAAAGAAAAGCACACCTGTTTAGTTAACTATACCTGATCCTTGAACATAGTCTAGCTTCCACCGCTGTGTCCTGTCTGGACATAGTGAGGAAAATGGGCAATACAAGCCTGGCAAACAGCAGGAAGAGGGAAAAAGGAAAACTAGATGTCTCCAGGAATATTTATCAGGAATGTGCACGGTAGATATGAATCCCCCAAGACAGTTATCAAAGCGGCATGTTTTTGAACCTAACTGCACCAGATTTAAAAAGCCCAGACAATCTGCAACTACAGGTTGGACCTGGAAGCTGGACCTCGAAGGTTGAGAGCTGCCAGTAAGGGGCTTATTTGCTGATTTCTCTAATACAGGCTACTGAAGCCAGAGGGCTAGAAAGCACACTGAGAAGACAGCTCCCACACGGACTGCCTGAGAAGCTACCGCTAAATAAAGGAATGGATGAACTCCACAGAGTGGAATATCAGTGGCTGGTTCACAAAGGACTTAGTGGGACAGCTAGAGATATTTTTATTTGATATTAGTATTTTGGAAAAATAAAGACTATGTACAAAGAGAACCGGTGATGCATCCTGCTACCTTTCTTCAGCAAAACTGACTCGAGAAAAATTACCTGTCATACTGTCAGGTTCAGGAATGAGTTCAGAAGTGTCCATTACATCACATGACTGAGTCTGATCCCCTTCTCCTTGTTTACAAAGAGTGCAGATGTAGTCTTTCAACTGAGAATCCAATTCACTACCTGGAGATCTGTCACATTCTATGTGAATCCACCTGGGGAGATGTATTTAGTGTGACTATGATTTTAATAATAAAAATATAAAATATCCTGGTTAGAATCAATATAAAAAAAAAGCACTGTTTTTCATTCCTTCAGGAAAATCGAATATTTCAACCAGTGCTTTATCTGGGAGCACCTTGAAGAAATAAAAAATAATATATCTGTATGTCAAGCACTGAACAAATTTAAATATGAAGACCTCAACTATCTCTAAAGCCAGTCAGATACCACAACATGTACAGCAATATCAAGATGTTGTACAGCAATATCAAGATGTTGTACAGCAAGATACAACAGCACTGTATTTCAAACAGTTCACACTTTTAAAGATTCTCTTTTTTTTATTACTTGCATAGCATAACACACAAAATTGAACAGAGAATACCTATCTGAAAATTCAACAAACAGAGACCATTGTAAACAACTCTCTTTATACAACAGCCTTACAGAAGTAATATGCATATAAAAATTTAAATACTAGTGCATGTAGAAATTATGACGACGACTCTTCTGGTCTGTTTACTCACAAAAGAGATGCAATATGAGGAGCAGCAGCAGAGCATATTTCTCTGTACACCTCACTAGCAAAAAAAGAACAGGTAACTGCAAATTCCCACTTATTTCCTAAGATTAAAATAAGACTGCCCAATATTGTCCACTGTATGTAAGGATGAAAGATCAAGATGCTGCACAGCAAGGTACAACAGCACTGTATATCACAGTCTACATCCTTCGCACAAACGCACAAATGCCATACCCGCTCACCATACACTTCAGGTGCTCTAGTACAGTTTAACAAATATAAGGCTTCTTACCTTTTGCACATGTGACAATGCAACATATCTTTCTGGAAGTCTTGGAGGCACAGTTTTTCACAGAAGGGACAAGTTAAGTTGTCTTGCTGTTGGTAACAACTGTCACACACCAAACAATTATGGTGCCACTGACAACTTGTTCGTGTGCCACACTCAGCACATACTCTACAGTTCTAGAGATCACAAGAATTTAGTTGTTAATTATGATATTTCACAATGTGATAGAACTGCCATTCAACTGACATTTTCCTGTTCTGAATTAAATTAAAAGAAATTCACTCTTGGGTAACACTGATAAATTATCCAGGATCTGTTAAGAGAATACGGAGAGCTTAGGCAACAACCAAGAGGAGGTTTCCTTGCACTACTCCCCGACTTGAAAGGAATATTTTCTTATGCAACCAAACGTTTTTATCCCTAATCTCAGTCTTCTCATGACTACCACAAAGTGACTTACAAAATTACATTCAACTCATGTCTAGAGACTTCCCTTGCTATGTTGAAACTGTATTTTTATTACTATCTACACCTCAAGTTATTGACGAAACAGCAAACTCATCCTGCCTTCCTCCAGCGCAAAGGAACCTTGAGCTGCAGAACTGCTGTTCAGGCAAGCAAGAAGCGGTAAAATACATGGAGTCCTCAAGGACAGATACATATACTTCTTTGCATACACTGTAGTGCTGCAATCATCAAATCATGAGAGCAGCTGTCATTAAGTGAAGGTTATCCACTCCACCTGGATCCTTCGCTTCCCTTTTCCCATATACTGACTGCTTGCTTTACTGCCCTACATAGGATGCTTCAGCCACTGCACTGAAAGCTACCTTCACGGAGCAGCAGTAGAGCCACATGAGTACCATACAAGCGGGATTCCTTCCGAAACTGCAAGGTCACAGTCAGTTCAACAGTAACAGCAGTCAGCAATAAACACAGAACGGCATAACGAGGATAACAATATTTGGACCCCTCTAGTGACAAAGAATAATGCTGAAAACCTTTCAACTTACTTTACATTTCCAACCATTTGTTGGTACAGAGTCCATAACTGGTTGTAGACAGAAAGTATGGTAGCCTTTGTCACACGTATCGCACACCAGCATCTTGTTGTCTTCCCCAGAATGTCTAAGAAAAATAACAAGAGTGATATTAAAAAAATATATTTAAGCCATTAAAAATCTGCTTAATGAGAAGTCTAATTAGAAAGGGAAGTAACTGGGTACATTAGAATATATGAATACCATCAGGACCAAATAGGTCCAAGGATGATGCCCTTAAATTCATATTTAAGTATGAATCAGGTACGCCATGTTCACTTTAAAAATTATTGAGCTTGTGCAACTATTATGACTGCCAGAAATCAGCCCGTTCTCATTTACATACACGTAGGTAGATTTAATCGCCTTTTTGTACTGAAATCAGTTCCAAAAAATGAAATATTTTGCTTTATTTCTTTCTGAAGAGAACACACAGTTCTACAGCCTGACTGTATTTCTTCCAAAAAAGAAAACAAGCCATCATCTCTGACCACCAGAATTCCTACAGTGTCAACCAGTATGATTGCCAAAGTAGGACAACTGTTAAAAGAGGAGATTTCAACTTTCCTACATCGATTACAGAGCTTCACCACAAAGTTCAGTGATAAAACATACTGACTGAAGATGAGACTAAATATTTTTGGTAACATCTAAAGCCATTGTGTGCTGTGTTAGGTTCAAATAAATGAACTCAGTTAAAAGAGTATGCAACAAGGATTGCTTGAAAAGAGCTTAAGAAAGTATATGGCATTACACACTAAATGCTGCTTCATTACTTGTGAGACCCAGTATTTTAAAAAGTAGTAAATGTTGTCTGTTTGCACGGACATATCCCAAAGAGAGAGGGTTTGTTAGCAAATACTGTAATTACCCTGCCCAACTCTTTTAGGGATACTCTCTAGAACGTGCCTCACTATTAAACCTTCATTGCTGACATTTACTATCATCTGTGTGTGATCAGGGAACAATCTTCTCTAAAGTGAGTGAATCTGAATATGGGCAATTACCAAGTGTTTTCTACTTGCAAAATAATAGAGCACTGACTGATCAGGTATATGAAGCAGTAGTGAAGTGGTTATTCCCTCAAACTGTCCCAGTTGACCTGACTAAAACTGATCTTTACTCTTTTCTGGTAAGCTTGTAAAAAAAAATAAACCAACAAAAAAAAAAATCTTACAGTGCTCATCAGATCGGGTTTTATGAGAACAAGTGTACAAGTGGTCCTAGTTCTCTGAGCAAAGCCTTGTAATACTGCAACAATTATTGTTTTATTGTCTCAATACTCCTCTGGCTTAGTAAGTCAACCATGGACAATTAGTCGCTTTTTTCTTTGCTCAACTAAGCCACGAGTTTGTTTTCGTAATGACTCATCAACTGCCTCTGAAAATTACTATGAAATAGAAGAGACAGCCTAATGCACTGGGCCCAGCCAGGATACGGTACTTGCACCGATGAACTGTCAGCTGAGTAAAAGGCTCAAGTTCTCAGACTCTAATGGCACTATGTTAAACTAATATGTTAATTTAGTATATTTGAATAAAATACCTCCTGTATACAAGGAGGTAATCACAAATTTTTGCTGCTCTTTGGAACCTGCAAAGATAACGACAACTCTGTGGAAGTAGTATGCAGG